ATACAACCTTCACAGAATCTATCAGAGTATCTTGTTATTTTACACTTGTTACATTCTTTTGGTTTGCCAAATTTATAAATTACATTGTTTTTTTCAAAGCTATAAATGAATTGTTCTCTACAATAATTTTTTTCATTTTCAGAAAGTTCCTTATTTTTTTCAACTAATGAAAAAAAATAATCTTTTCTACTTTCAGAATTTTTAGAATTAGCCAGAGCATTATTCACCATTTCTTTATGAATTTTATATACAAATTCTCTTCTTTCTGATGTTACTGATGATAATAATTTATTATGTGACATTTTAACTTTATTTATAAATTTATTTTGGAAAAAGATGAATTTAATTATTATTGAACAATTGCGTTGTTACTGTAAGTAAATAAAAAGTTAAATTCGTCAAACCTTATTTATTATCATTATTATTATTTAAAGAAAACTAGTAATACAAATAAAAGATATTTATTCAAACATTTGTTTTGCACATAAATTTTCTCAATATGCCAGACAACCAAGAGAAAGTTAAAAGGAGAACAAAAGGAACCAGTCAAAAGCAAATCACTAAGCAAGTATTATTAAAAACCATTCTACACAGTTCACATAAATTAAAATTGACTTTTTTTAAATTTGTTCACTCCTTAGACAAACAGAGGATGAAGAAGTAAGGACTTTTCTATCAATCATAAATCAATTTATCTGGCAATTTTTTCCATGTTTTTTCAACTTTAAAAGGATCCAGAACCAATTTCACCACAATCATTGCCAACATTTAATGAAGAAGAATTAAAACAATTTCTTGCTGATGATTTAGTGCTTCTAGACATTCCTGTCAAAAGAAATAAGTGAAACCAAAACAAGTTTTAGCAAACAAGTTTCAAATTGGAAGGAATGGATCTAGTGATGTCCACTGAAACCAAAAGTGTACCAAAAGTACTTTCGAACATTTACAAGTTTGGAACCTAAACTGAAAGTCAAACTATGAATACATTTGACTAAACATCATTTATTTTATTTAAATTCTTTTCTGACAATCTAACCATCAAAAATATTATCAAAAAATCATTATCAAATTTTATAGTTTTTTTCCTAAACCCAATCCTTTATTTTTCTAGCCTATTTTCTAATGATTTTTCTTATTAATCTTATTATTAGCTGATTTCTTGGTTTTCATCATCTGCATTACTATCATCATAATCATAACCACCATCTATATCATTTATTTATTCTATTTTCACAATATTCATAATCATTTGTATCTCCTCCACAAGTTGCAGATTAATTTTGGTATTAATATTAGTCACATCTGTATCAAGAAGTCTTCCTGAAATTGCTTTTCTATTAGGTGGTGTGTATGCAGGCCTAAATTGTTTCTTATTGTGGATTAGAGTCATCATATACTCTGAAGAAAGTTCTCTAGGTATATTTTATATGTAAAGTTAAATATTGATGCATATTATACTTGGAAAATAATATAACGTCAATATGTTGGATTCTATTAATAAAGAATTCTCATCAGAACAATGTTATACCACAAATGATGTTTCCACCATTATGCAAAGTAAAAGAGAAATCAAACCAATCAACAAATGCAAGGAAAAAGAAAAACCTCTGATTCAAAATATTTCTCTGCTCCAGAACAAGAATTAAAATTGTAAAAAAATTTTTTTGTTATTTCAAAACATTGTTATAAAGTTTTAAGAATAAAATAAAAAGATAAAAAGATAAACAAATATATAATTTATATGAATAAATTATAGTGAAGATTAAATTAATCATCCATTGATGTTTCAACATCTTTTCTCTTATTATTATTATTGTTATTATTAGAATCTAATATTTATTGATTCATTAAACAAGAATAAAAAAGATTGTTAGTAATAATAATTTAACAATTAATAATTTAAATTAATTTATTAATGAAATTTTTAATTATTTGCCATTGTTAAAATCAATGTTTAAGAGAATATCATTAATATCAAGATTATTTAATGAACTGTTGTTACTTTTTAAACT